GAGAAATCACCCCCCAGGGGGGATGGTCACGCCGCAATCCCTTCTCCTCCATTCTCCTCTCGGGATCTTGGGCACGCACGCACACGGGCCCGGTGTGAGTTTTTAAGCCACCGGGTCCGGGACACGAACCGCGGTCGACTATGTGGGAGTCTAGCGACATAGCCATTACGCTAACTGCTGGTTCCCTATAGCAAAAATTTCTTTAAAAAAAAACAATGGTGTGACTGGGGACCAGATGGTGACACGGCAGCAATACAAATGAGCCCATGTAAGAATGTCCCTTGTTTGCATCCCAGGGCCGCCCTTACATGCCAGGGGTGAGTACGCGCTGGTGATCTGGGCTGGCCGAAGATGAGAGGTGAACAAGAGCTACGCTTTTGTTATATGTTAATCTTGATTACTTTGGATCTGTTTGTTACAGCAGCTTCGTCTACCCGACCCACATAATTCCTAACATCTTGTTCCCTGGGATCCTCTTCAGTCAGACAGACAGATAAAGGGAAGCTGCAGGAGACGACGTAGTCCTGACTCATGGAAAGAAAGGCTTACACCAGTGCTCGATCCTAGAGTCGAACACAGAAGTGAGATATCGTCCCCGGGTCTCTGAACACAAGAACAGCTTAGACAGTGGCAGAACAGAGAGGCCAGGCAGTAGCCTCTGGAAACTGGAGGTGCTTCAGGGAGGCAGTCACAGCGGGGTGGGGCTGGGAGGGGGAGGACGGAACAGCCTCAGTAGGGCCAAGCAGCTCCCTGCAATGCTGCGATCATTTGCTCGCATCTTCTCAGTGCCAGGCACCGTCCTGGGCACCTGCAGTTCAGCTGGAAATAGAACAGCTAAAATCCCTGTTCTCACAGAGACGACATTCCAGAACAGGAAGACAGGCAATACACAAAACGAAGAAGTTAATCACATGCTCTCTTAGAAGGTGATAAACGCTTGGGGGCGGGGGATCAAGCAAAGAGATAGAATGCACTGTTAGGGTGAAAAGTAAAGGTTTAAATAAATAAAAATGTCAGAGAAGGCCTGATGGGGAATGTAACAGTTGGGAGCAAAAACAAAGAAGGTGCAAGGAAGGACACAGCGGATAGGAGGCTGGACGGTGGCACAGCAATAAATGCAATGCTCTGTGAGGCTAGCCCACATGGTCCCTGGTTTGCAGCCAGACACTTCCCTGAGAACCCTGGGCCCACACTTGCCCACGATCCAGAACTGCCTGAAGCTGGGGGTGGATCATAGCATCACGATCCTATTGGGGTAATGTCTCTGTCTGTCTATCTCTCTCTCTCTGTGTCATTCATGGGAGAAATAAACTCTTAAAAAAAGAACAAGCCTCGTAGATATCTAGAGTAAAAACAAAGCATGCCTGTACTGTCAGCATGAATGTTCCTGTTTCACCCGCAAAAGTTTCTTCTAGAAGCAGTCGGCTCTGGTTAGCAGATTTTTCAGTTGTGTAGAACCAGGCTCATTGCCTGCTTCCTTCTCCCCCAGGAACACTGGCACGCCTGCCAAGTCCCTCGTCCCAGAAGTCTAGGGTCCTCTGAGCTCTCTGCTGAAACGCCAAGTTCTTCCCTTTGTCCCCACATCCTCAAACCTGTAGCTGCTTCCCGTGAGTTCCACCTCCATGACACCCCGTGTTCTCCATCTGCCTTCTCAATTACCTCGTTAACAATGCTCTATAATACATTCTCTCTGTTAAAGTACCTGGTATGGTTCGTTTCCTACCCAGACCCTGATCATCCAGGCAGAAATATAAAACCATCTTAGGGAATGGACTGGAGGATTCAACGCCATTTAGGCTGGCTCAGACTTCTTCAGAAAAACAGAATGCTGGGAGACAATGCATGTCTACAAGGTGGGGGAAAGTGAAACTCACAAAGCTTTTACTAAGCCAAGGTATTGTTTAGATATAAAGGGTACACATATGAAAGAGCGTAAAGACCACAATGTCTACACACTCTTCCTGGGCCAGCTGCCAGGTGGGGCAGGGCGTCACAGTGGTCTGCAGTGAGGAGATGACCGTGGAGGAGGGCTGCTCAGGGCAAGGTGTCTGGCTCCACAGAGGGAAGGAAGATGGCTATGAGGAGGGGCAGCTGGTCATGGAGAGTCAGGGCTGAGCAAGAGGGCAGCATCCATGCAGGGAGTGAGGGCAGGTTATCGCGAGACGTCAGAGTCCAAGGAGCAGAGGAGCAATCTGATGTGTGGAGTCAGCTCCTAAATGGGATGAGAAAGTGACCATAAAAGGGCTGGGAGATGGCCCAGAAAGTGGAATCTGAGCCCACAAGGGGGAGGAAAAAGGCCATGAGGGGGACAGCTCATTTCTAGGTGTCCAAGGCCAGCAGAATGAGACCGTATCAGTGCTAGAGGGGAAATGACAGCAAGGTAAAATACTGATTAGATACAAGGCATTAATCAAATAAGTAAATATCTTAAGAATCAAGAGGAACCAGCAGATGACATAATGGTCATGTCACTGGACTTCCACATAGCGAACCGCAGTTCTAGTCCCAGACCCGGCGGCTTCAAACTCATGCTGGGCGTGTGTCCATGCATACCCAGAATCCAGAGAGAAGAATGGAGAAGAAGGTATTGCAGCATGGCCATCCTCTCTGGGGGGTGGGGGGGGGAGGATTTCTTGCTTCATGTTTCTATGACAAGTGCACATGCCCTAGAGCAAAAAGATTCATGGAAGCCAGATTTTACACTGATGGACCAAAGAAGCTACAAACACAAAAAGAGAAAACCCTAGAATAAACCCTGTGCTGTTAGACTGGAATTGAGTTACTGGCGTTGTGTTTTCTCCATACGGAAATACATATGGAGATAAATGAAGATGTGCATGTACAGACATATGTGCACTCTTCAAAAAGTCCATAGAAATGTGTATTCTTTAAAAAAAAAACTATGCACGGACTGCACATAAATTTGCATTTTCATCCCATGTTCCATGAACTTGCTGAAGTCCTCTCAGGTCTGTCCACTGCCAGGGTCGATATTCCAACGTCATTGGATACATCTATCACCAAGATTTTGGCTTCTCATGGCCATTTTCCAAAGGAAGCAAGACTCCTTGGAGAAATGGCTGATTTCAGGAACACTGGGGAAAGTACAAAACGAATCATCTTTCTGCACCGAGATAATATACAGGAGAGCCTGAACATGGGGACACGTCAAAAGGACAGATGAGGCAGCTTCTCCTGGACCAATCAGTGATCATGAGACCATCACAATAAGACATGGCACGAGGCCAGCACGTAGCATAGTAGTTGAGGCATTGGACTCCCACATGGCGGACTATGATTCAAGTCCCAGACCCAGTGGCTTAAAATTCACCCTGGCACATGTGCATGCATGTCCAAAATCCTGAGAGGAGAATGAAGAAGGATTGTGGCATGTCCAAGCCCCCTGGGCAGGAGGTGATTTCTCATTTTTCCTCTGTCTCTCTAGTGAGCGCATGAGTGCTATATCAAAATATCTCTCTGAAAATGAAAACAAATAAACAAACAAACATGGCACCAACAATCCATTGAACAAAGTAGAAGCTATAAATCTAAACAGACATTAACTAACTAACTTCAAAAGTTTAGTGCATATTGGATATTTATACAGTGGGTTGTTGGAAAAGTCTTTGCCTGGTGTTTTATTTAATTTAAGATTTTTCATTTAAACAACTTATTTGAGGGATTCTTCTTGGCTCCTAGTAAGCAAAGGTCATAGAACAGACATTGTCATCTCAGGAACATGGAGCTCAGAAAAGCTGCTTGCTTCTGAGTTGAGGTCTGTGTCTCCACCACTTCTTTTTTCACCCAAACTTGAACGGATGGAGTGTGTTTTAAAATCTATCCTCCTGTTTGTGTCGAAGTCCTTTAAGAAACATTTTCTATACTTGAAGTTGTCAAAGGTAAGACGTTTAAAAATGACTGGGAGTTGATACATTCCTCTGTGTGTGTGTGTGTGTGTGTGTGTGTGTGTGCGTGTGTTAATTTTGCCAGTGCATGAGCGCACTTGCCAGAGAGAGACAGAAAGACAGGGAGAGGAAGAGGGAGAAAGCAGCCCTTGTGGAGAATGGTGACATTGAGATCCCTTCTCCTCCATTTCTCCCTCCTTTCAGGAATTTGGGCACATATGCACACACACACACACCGTGTGTTTATCAAGTTACGAGGTCTAATACTCAAGCCACAGGGTCGGTTGCTTTAGACATCAGGCCGCAGAGCCAACCCCCCATGCCCCCATATGTTTTCTTCCATATTTCTTCACATACTGCCTTCCTAGTCAAGGGGCTTTCTCTGCTGTTACTGTTGTTGTTTTGGGTTCCCGATAATGTTCTTGTAATATCAAGAAA